TGGACCTGCCAGAAGACCACACTTTTCTTGGGCCATTATCTCTGTAACCGTTCAACTTTGGACATAGGTGTTTTGGGTTATATCGGCATACTTTAACATAAGGAACACCCTCCCGAAGTTTGGTCCATTCCTCCTGGGACACCCTGTATATTTTGTGAGTGTAACAGGATGCTTAAATATAATATTAGGTATTTTCATGCTCTTTCTGAACAAACCACAGTTTTCATGCCTGGAGTTTCAGCTGCCTGTACACTACATTGTGAACTGTTGAGTGAGGAATTTAAAGTTTGCACCTCACTGACCAAACAGGCTTCCACAGACTTTGTTGGAAAACTTTCTGAACAACTTCAACTTCTTGAGGTGTTGTGAGAGATATGCCACCTGCAGCTTGTCACTTGAAAGTCCCATGCTGTAGCAAATGCTGGTGCCAATTAACAGCTGTACATCTCGTGGATCATGGCCATACTTCTGATAAAACTTATGGTGAAGTCATCGGAGACTTAAATTCTACCAGCCAATAACAGTAGTGAACTTTCTCTTGTGGTGTGAATGATACCACTTTGCACAAACCAATAGCTACTGCATGTAGTGGTCACAGTTGAATTTTTACACTTTTAACTGCATACCCCTTGCATGTATCTTCACTGAGTGTGAAGTTATTCAGTTTCTTTACTGGCTGTGTTCATTTTGGACATCCTGTATTTCACAACCAAACGTGGCAAGAAACGTAAACTAAGCTATTAAGAACTAGTGAACCGAGTTCATTCTGTCAAAACCCAATCCACCTGACAAACTAGGTTTATTGATATTTATTTTGTAGTTTCCATATTTACAACTCTGGCTGACTGTGCCAGAACCATACAAATCATTCAATGCAGACTTCAGACTGTACAACAGATTTAACCAAGCCTCTTTCCAATGTTTCCAGTTCTGTTCCCAAGAACAGCCTTTCTCTTCTTGCCTATACAGATTACATTCCATGTTGGAACACATGCATATTATCATTTAAAATGTTACACTGCTTGTACCCAAATATCCCTTTTAGTAAACTAGCCTTGAAGGAAAAATTATACAGTGTCAATAAAATACTAATTATCATCATGAACATTTATTTACTGTTATTTATACAGCCATGAACAAATCAATTAACTCAGCTAATTTAAAGTTATACCTGTAAATTAATACATTAAGTGTTTAAGCACTTGCAATAATTAATTCAAGCATGGGAGAATTATGACAACCAGTATCATAGTAACTATTGTAATTTATTAGTGCAAGAACAACTTATAATCAGACTCATGAAAAAAACAATTTAGGATTCTTTACAATGAGGCTACACACACAGAACTGATGAACATTTTCAGAAGTAGAGATGGAAGATTCAGATCAGTAAAGAGTTACAGTTCTATATAGAGATAATGGACCAGTGGAATCACAGGTATATATAATATCATTCAAGTTACAAATTCTGGGATCAGAAAATAAATATCAATGAACTGTGTCAGCACTACTGAAAAAGTGTTGTTACTAGCCAGGTGGTAAGGTGCAATTATATTACTATGCCATCATAATTTGTGTTCATATTTAATTATAATATATGAATTTAACTGAATTGGGAAGGAAAAAAATATATCTTTTATATCACATGCCTGGCTGTCCATAGAATCAAAATGTTTCCTATTAAATACTAAAAACTTTAAAAACTGACAAAATTAAAATCAGATGTTTTCTAAGAGTACTTATTAACTGCAATACAAAAAGGAATATCTTATAAACACCTAACCTTAAAGAATGGGCATATCACAATTGTAAAAAATAAATATTTATATCAACCTGTAACTTAAAAAAGGGGTAAGAGATTTTAAACCTGTTAAGATAATTCTTCACTTCTACACTTTTTCTGGAATGAAGCCAATATATCAGCAAGAGAGACAGTGAAATCCCCATTCAATATTTCTGAATGTATAGGTGTTCCTCATATAATACTCAAATTTTATATGTTCAGCCCCATTACCTGAGCACAAAGTTCCACTCATTTAACACTTTCACTTCCATGTCCAGTGTTGGTCATTATATCATAACAACATGCATGCTGCGAAAGCAAAATACAGTTCTGAAGGATGGTGGTTGTATCATAGACTACTGGCTTTCTCTTGCTGAGCCTTTTAACTCGTCCAGATGTTTATGCATGGCATCCACTCCAGAGAATCCACTGTTACTTGGACTACGTTGAACTGGGAACAACTGTAACAGAGAGAGCTGGTCTTCACATAAACCTCATGCATATCGCAAAACTATCACTTCCTTTTTCACATTTAAGAGACACTATATAAAAACTGAACACACCACAATTTAAAATGTATTACAGTACTCAAATATTCCTTTTTATAAATTCACATTTAAGGAGAAATTATACCAGTGTGTGAATAAAATAGTACTAATATCATAAACATTATTTACTATTATTTATTACAGCCATAAACAAATCAATTAACTTAGCTGATTTAGAGATATACCTCTGTTGCTGAGCCTTTTAACTCCTCCAGACGTTTACGCAAGGCATCCACTCCAGAGAATCCACTGTTACTTGGACTACGTTGAATTGGTAACAACTGTAACAGAGAGAGCTGGTCTTCACATAAACCTCGTGCATATCTCACTATCACTAACATCCATGTTCACATTAACAGACAATATATCAAAACTGAACACACCACAATTTAAAGTGTTGTATTACAGTATTACAGAAATTATACTGGTGTGTGAATAAAATAGGACAAATATGAACATTATTTACTATTATTTATTACAGCCATAAACAAATCAATTAACTTAGCTGATTTAGAGGCATGACTCTAAAGTGATACATTAACCAATTAAACACTTCCAATAATTAATCCAAGCTTGAGAGAATTATGACAAAAGCGATATCATCATAGTGACTATTGTAATTTATTAGTGCATGAACAACTTATAATCAGACTCATGAAAAAACAATTTAGGATTCTTTACAATCAGGCTACACACACAGAACTGATGAACATCTTCAGAATACTGTGAAAAGCAAAGATGGATGATTCAGAGCAATAAAGATACGCAGTTTCATATACACATATTGGACCAGTTTTAAATTCCAAGATAAAAAAAAAAACGAATACCAATGAACTGTGCCAGCACTACTGAAAGCTATAAACAGAGTTGTTGTTCACTATGTGGTAACGTGCAATTATACATTCCATAACAATTTACGTTTATATTTAAATATAATATATGAATTTAACTGAATTTGGAAGAAAAAATATACATTTTATATCAGATGTTTTGACTGCCAATAAAATCAAGATGTTTAATATTAAAAGCTCAGGACTTCTTACAAAACTGACAGAATTAAAATAAGATACTGTCATGGGATGCAGTGACTACAGACAGGCTTTGGACTGGTAATTTGATTTACTGAACATTTAACAGATCATAACTACAAATAACTATAGCGCTATCGCTAATTCACACACTCATCAGTGCACTATGGCACGTATTGAGTCTTCTCAGTCTGCTGTGTCTTCACCATTCATCTGGTAACAGTTTCCTATGCCATAGATCCCTCAACTTCTGTGTTCACGTTCTTACTGGCTGCTGACTGTCTCCCACCGAACTAAATTCTAGATTTGTCTTACTTGTAACACCTCAGCACGGACCACATAGAAAAGGGCACTTCCCAGTTAATTCATAGGTATGTGTTAGGAATCTGTTGCCTAGCAACAGATGTTTACAGAGTCATTACCTAGCAATGGGTCTACATGTTACATTTCTGCCTCCTTATGGCTAATCGTCCGTGATCGAACTCTCCTTCCTCCTTTGTGGCTCAGTTCTTGCAGTGATTACTCTTCAACTGCTTCCACTGCTCCCTCCTTAAGGCCGCTTGTGCCAAGTGGTTCCCTGATAAGGTGCGAGCCGGTTCAGGTATACCACCATCAACCTTGATCTAGAGTTCCTTTCTGGCTGGTGCAGGCAAAAGGTCCAAGAATGACTGATGCTCCTACAACTCTGGATCTTAAACTGCTTGTGTCTCTTCTTTCATTTCAGAGGGGGCAGAACCCTCCACAATGTCCAGTTTCTCACTTCCCATAACCCAATGGAAATCCTGACTACTTGCTTCATGACCTCCAGTCTGAAAGTACACGTGACAGTCTTGATAAATATCCTCTTGCTTCCTAGATGTAGCTGCCTTTTAGGCCTTGGTCTCTTATGCTGTTGTTGCAATATGGTTGTGCCCAAAATCTTGAACATTTGTTCTTTAGGAGCTCCTTGTACAACACTCTCCCTGCCGTGTTTCTTGTGCAGTGCAGGAATGGCATGATAGATCAATTGTCCTCAGGCAGTGACTAACTTCTGTTGGGACCCACCATTGCCCTGGGTCTGTTTTTTTGGCTGTCAGTGGCACCCTATGGCTAGATGTCAATCCCCATATCAGTCCTCCAGTACTCCAGTAATTTTCACTGTGGCCTTTTCTTTAAGGATGTCCTGCTGCTCTGCTATGGCCTCTGACTTTTCTCAATTGGCCTCCAAATTTGTGGTGTCCATTCTCTTCCTTTCTTCAAAAACACCCACCGCAGCCTCCATTTTCTCTAGCTGGGAGTCAATCTTGGCCATCATCCTCTCACGATGGGCATCTATCTTTCTTCATTTCTTGGCCATCATTTCTTCTTTCAGGTGTTCTTGGCTGGCCTTCATTTCCTTTAAGCTGGCATCTGTCTTGGCATCCATCTTTTCTATGGTGGTTACCAGATGTTCAATTTTTGTAGGCTGATGATACAACCAACGAGTGCAGTCTTCAATCCAGTATCTGAATTCAATCCCACTTCTGAGACCAGGTGCCACATGATGTAGTGGCTACAGACAGGGTTTGAAATGGTAACTGGATTTACTGAACACTTACACACTGTAACTACAAATAACTATAGTGCTACCACTAATTCACACACAGTTCACTACAGCACATACTAAGTATTCTCAGTCTGCTTTGTTTTCACCAGTCATTTGGTAACAGCTTACAACACCGTAGATCCCTCAACTTCCATGTTCATGTCTTTACTGGTAGGCAACTTTTCCCCAACTAACTAAACTCTAGACTTGTCCTGCTTATAACACCTAGGCAAAGAGTGCACAAAAAACACCGCTTCCAACAGTTTTTCTCTTATTGCATCACACAGCTGTCATACAGACCATGTAGAGAACACTGCTTCCTGTTAATCCACTGCTGAGTTAGGAATCTGTTGCCTAGCAACAGGTATTGTTTACAGAGTTATTACTTAGCAATGGGTCTACATGCTGCAGTATTTTCTAATGGTACTTATTAACTGCAACACAAAAGTGGCCTCGTTAGTCTAGAGGTAACGTTCCCACCTCATGACTCGTGGTACGCGGGTTCAAATACCTGGCGGAGGTCGAATTTTTAAGGGCGGAAAAATTCAGGGAACAAGTCCTCCAGGAAGGACTTTAAGCTGTGTGTCCCGTGTCGTAACTTTACGGCACGTAAAAGAACCTCATATCCTCAAAGGGGATCACTGAGCCAAATTCCAGGACGTTTCCCGCCCAACAATAGCCTCTAAGGCCTCCGATAGATGGGGGAAGCATTATAGACACCGCTAAGCAAGTGGCCGAACTCACTTGCTCGGCGGGACTGATGGTATGCACCATTTCTCGGTAGGGTAAAGAGACTGGTACAATATCATAGAGGGAAGCACAATAGATCAAACTGGTCGCGGTGCATGGGGAAACCCACCCTCTCTAAATAACTAACTAACTGCAACACTAAGGGGAAAACCTTAAAGAAAGGCATATCAGTCACAATTGTAAAAAAATAAACATTTATATTAACCTGTAACATAAAATGGGTTACTACAGTTTAGATCTGTAAAAGACAACTCTCCACTTCTAGACTTATTCTGGAATGCAGCCATACACCAGGGAGACAGTCAAATCCCTGCTCAATATTTCTGAATATGTAGATGTCCCTCATACAACATCCAATTTCTGTAGGTTCAGCCCATTACCCAAGCATAAAGTTCCAGCCATTTAACACTTTTGTCCCCGTATCTAATATTAAAATGCAGCACCCTGTTGCACTGTGTACATGGCAAAAAAGCATAACACACAGTCATACCTCACATCTAAGGCTGGTCATTTACTACTGCTTTTTCCAGACTGCCAGATCTGACCAATGCCAGTGACTCAAAGTGACAAGACAAAATGTTTCTCTTTCAAAACACACTTTGATCGCAGAGTTCTTTGCTGTCACTAAGTAGTCCATGTAGCTACCTTTTGCAATTCCTTGGACATATCTAGATCATTTGCTATTTACTCCTTTACAGTGATGTAGTACAAACCACTTGCATAGTACAAAAATGGCTGGTCTGTGACATATACTAGCAGCAGAGTTGCTGGGACTTAAAGTATTATGGCTTTCCTCATATTCAAATTCACTGTCCCCAATATATGTTAAATGGGGAGATCACTTACCTGCACAGATAAGTTTGACAACATGCTTCATAAACACACAAAACTAACCTCTTGAGGCCTATCAATGACAAATGGTTTTTTGTTAAGGTTCTCATCATTTACAGCATTGTCATCTGTATCACGTGGACCTCGCTGCCTGGGGTCGAGGACGAGACTTGATGGTTCAAGGCCTGCCTGCACTTGCAATGCCCGTAGCCTCTCCAAATAGTAGAGATTCTTTGAACCTGAACTTGAATCTGAGTCCTCACCGCCACTCTCTATTATAACACGAGCCCTCAAGGTTTGAAGCTGATCCATGCATGCTGCTTTTGGATTCCGTAAATCAGCTCCACCGACATCAATATTCTGAAGTGTGACTCCACTGGAGGCCGTTATTCCTGCACAATGAAGTTTACTGCGAACAACTGTATCACTTCAAATGGATGCTACAGTCAAATTTTGTGCAAAATAAGACTGATATTCAAAAGTAAAAGTATGTTTCACTGCAAGTTCTCAAAGGAATGTAGCATATTTTTCATATCTGGGACAACAAGAAACTGAAAAGGAAATGTGGAAAGAAAGAACAGACTGGAAAATTTTTGGTCATTGACCCAAATAAAAACAAAATGATGACAGATGATAATAGTTGCGCCATCCACGTCACAATACATAATCATACCTGTCACATACCAGAAATTTTTAAACAAATGGTCAATTTTCTTGTAACTTGGTATGAATATCATTCTACTGGACAACAAACATTTGGACTGCTTCATCATCATCATCATGATGGCTGTGCTAAATTTCTGCGACAAAAGGAACACTAGTACTACTTAATGTATTCCTGAAATGTTATATGGTTTCAGATCTCCAAGAAAAATACATCTTTTGTAATTTTCTTCAAGAAATCACAGAAACTATTAAGAGCGTTGAAGAAATAAGCTCACTACTGCCTATTTCACCATTAGACCTGCCATCAACTTGAAAGCGGTGAGAGAAAAATAACAACATAATTTTCTTTCAAATTTAATGGACAGTACAAATAGTACATGTCGAATATATCTTAGTAACTAATTACATTTAAGTTCTATTTAAATCTTTCATTATGTACAGTGGCAATCCAATGAACACACCTTTAAGTTCCTACAACTCATTCATGACATTTCATTTAGTTCTTAATCAGTATATACACTCTGACAAATTCTCTATTACATTTACCTCTCTTGTAAGAGAACCTGAAGGTTCAACACTACTAATACCAAAGTCCACCACTGGACACAAGTTCTATCTACCTCCCATCCATTCCTCAACCTTCTAAATGTCTGTTTTTCAAACGTTTTCCCCTTCAGAAATCTGTTGGCATTCAATTCCCCCATACTAGCCCCACACAGGCTCCTTTTAAGTCACTATGTCACATGTACACCCCACAAAGTACATTCCAACTCAACTAATTTAAATAAATGCTTACACTAAGGATTATTTACATGAAACAACTGTACACAGTATGAAGTATGATAAAGTGACATACCTAAGGAGCTCATACTTGATGGAACCATCGGGGGAGCGGCAGCTGGGACAGTATGTACTAATTGCCCTACAGATTTTTTCCTATCCTTATCAATTTCCTGCAGTCCAGCTTCAACATAGTCTTGGAAAAACTGTGAAGATTTCCGAAGGAAACGATCAATATCAGCTTCTGGATGCTGTTGTTTAAAGTCATACAAAAGTGACAAACCCTGAAATGTCAGAGACCATAGGATTATTTATGGGGACACACTAAATATGGCAGAGCAACCTGAATTAATATGTAATAAACGATTTCATAGAGCTTTGTTGTAGTGATTGGCAACAAAACATTTTTTTTTTTTTCAATTTGCAAATTCACCAGAGCCTGGAAGGATAGCAATATTATAAAACTTCAAGTAATGGATAATTCTTTGGACATGTAATAAATGCATCAATAGAGGGACATTAAATTGAAGTTTCATATTTAACAATAAATTAACAACGCATGTTAATGGCATACTCATGGAAGGCACATATAATCTCCACATGCAAAATGAAATGTAGTTCTGCTACATGAAGGAATGAAAAACTCTTTGTTCCTGTCCTTTCTGCATTACAGTGCAATTCCTCCAGTTCACTATACTAAGTAACGATATTCAATACAAATATATTTAATTATCTGTCTGCTAACTCTGTGTGGGGTTCAAGGTCAAAGTTAGAGGATAAGCGGGGCTGGTACATACACACAAAAACACACCATCCTGACTGAATCAACACCCATGAACAACCCTTGATAAAACACCAATATGGATTTAAAAGAATGCTTCTTGTATTTACATATCTCAATAAAATGTAGTTTTTGTATCATTTAATAAATTTCAAACAGAAAATTGTTATTTTCAGACCACATTCTACAACTCTACTTAAGGGACAAAATTAATTTTTAAGAGAATATATCAGGATTACTGGGTTTCTTGACTTTGTCCATCATCTAATATTCTAAAGAGTAACTAAAAAACACAATGTTTTGGGAACTATATGTTTCAATCCTCAGGTGAGGGGGTGGGAAACATCTACCTGTTGGGTCCATTAGAAGGAGAGAATCTTAGTCACAACTACAATCAGACCAGTGACTGAGAAAGAAATGAGCTATATCAACAAAACTGCATCAATCATCCATGCATGTACACACCTCTTTTGTCTGATCCCTAGACCCAATTTTCTTAAATATCTCTGATAAAAGCCCATATGTAGTTTTAGGTAGCTGATGTGATTTTGATTCTTTCTTCGGAGGACTGGACTCATGCTTCACAGTCTAAAAGAAACATTTACATTACATTTAGTACAAATCATTTCATACCACAACTTAATCACACTATAGTGTCTAACTTCATTCATTCACATCCTTTTCAGTACTAAGCACACTAAGACCTGTCATGGATACTGCAAAACAGAATCCTTCAGGCATTTCAGAGATATTCTCAAACTTGTTTTTGCTCTTGCCTGAAACTTTAAGAATTCTCTTGAGGTATAGGAGGCAGGATGCCTCTCCTACTCAACTGTCAACTTTGCCTTGTCATAGCATACTTGCTTTCACTGCAGAGGTTTTTATGCCTAAGTTATAATAGAGTAACTGTTATGTCAGTGCAGGAGGAAATGGTGGCACATAGAGCTGTCCAGAGGTGTAATTGTGTTTTACTAGAACCTGGGAGTTTCTCCACTGAACAAGGACCTTTATTATAGGGGGTAAAAAGTTTAAGGATTTACTAGACTAATTTATGGGAAAACCTTGCAATTGTGTAAGTGGAGAAATAAATCAAACCTAGGTGAAAGTTAAAGCTGTCCCTATGCTATGATGAAGATATACAGGGGAGTGGATGTATACATCCATGGTCAGCTTCATGCCCCGGCCACTTTACCCCCAGGGAAAGGATCCCTAATACCGACAGGATATGTGGCTGGGTGGGCACCATATTCGCTTTGGATGATGTGGACAGGAAAAATATCTTGACCTTTCCAGGACAAAACCCCTGACCGCTCAGCTGTACAGCCCTAAGCCAGTCACTATACTGACTGCACTCAGAGATTATGAATTGTACAAAAAAATCTGAAAATACAAAGATAATATATACATGAAAACAAATGTTATCAAGTCTGACATCACCATCTAAGCATGAATAAAATACACTGAAGCACAGACCAGTGATTCTAAGTAACATTTACATAGGTGAATTCTCGTTAGCGGGTAGTGCTCGGTCAGCACAGTAACAAGCTTCACACTGAAGAGTTGAAGAAATAGTGTTCAATTTCCAGCAGGAACAAATTATTTTTTTCACTTTTCCAATCACCTGACCACTTACTTCCATCCAGTATGGGACCTATACCTCTACTCCCCTATACATCTTCATGGTGTTGTACAACTTTACCTTTCACATTTGCTCCTGTAACTACATGTAAGTACATATAAGTACTGTACAAACAACTGATTACAAAGAAAGGCCATAGTCGAACTGGGATGTGACACCACAGTCTGGCAGATCTTCACCAAAGTTTTGGACAAACCTGATGTCTCCAACTTCAGGATATAAGAACAGGACAAATGTGGAAAAAATGGTATGTATGTAGGACCAGAATCAGGTTCCTAAGCAAACCAACACATCTGTACCAATTTTTCCATGCTCAGCCTACTTTTCTATCATGAAAATGGAGATACAAGCCCCCACCAAAACACTGGGGAAAATCTACCAGATTCCACAGCATCAAGAAACAGTAATCACCACAGTGATTAGAAATAAACTCAATTAACTGTCTCTTAACAATGGGTACAAAACATATCAATCATACTTTTACCACATCATCATATTACTTTAAGTAGTAAGTGGAATAATTATATCATTATGAGGCAATGCATATTTCCATTTTGGTCTTCTCAAAACTACCCTTGTAATCTGTTCATAAAATGTGTATCATTGTGCTACAGGACTTTCAACGGTATCTGCAACCTACAATATAAATAGCAGTTTGCACTTTTTAAATATTTAGCTCTTTGAAGCACACTGGTTATTAAGGTGAAACCTCCATTTAAGGTTTCTTTTCAGAAAAGTATCTGAACATTAAATTAAGGAATAGCCTGAATGGAGGAACATCAAATCAAGAAACATTAAATGTTACTTCTACTACATACACGACAACTACTTTCACATTAAAAACTCTCCATTTTGTCTGGAGCATACTTCTGTGTTTCCCCACCAATTGCATCTCCCCCTTATCATGATGGTGGGGTTTGAGAGCTCCTGAGACCCTGAGAGCTATGCTGGCGGTAGCACAGCTACTGGTAGAGGCACCCATGTCGGACAGGTCAAGGGGTAGGAGCCAGACAGAGAGGGATACCCTGGTCCTCCAGGTTGGGGGTTGGGCATGAGGCCAACAACCGCACACTGTAAAAACTAAATTGTTCAGAAATCCAAGGAAAGAGTAGCCAGACGGACCTATTCAAGACAACCTGGAAAATTTTTAAAGGATTTGAAAATTGGATCTTGGAATGTATTACCTCTTTACAGAACCGGAGCACTAAAAATGCAACTTGAACTAGATAGCTATAAACTAGATATCACTGATATACAAGAACTGAGGTGGTTGGGTAAAGGAGTCATGGAAAAGAGGGATCATGTTGTATTCTATAGCTGTCAGAAGAAGTCACATGTTTGGAACAGGGTTTATTGTTAATAAAAAAAGGAAGAATCTTATTTTAGACTTCCAGGCAAAATCTCACAGAACATCTAGGCTACAAATTAAGGGAAAGTTTTTTAACTACAGCCTTATTTGTGCATATGCCCCAACCGAAGATAAAACTGATGAGGAGAAAGACTCCTTCTTTGATGAATTGGATGAAATACATGGCGAATGTCCAAAAAGGGACTGTAAAATAATCATAAGGGACATGAATGCCAAAGTGGGGAATAAGGATGTATATAGATCGATTATTGGAAAACATAGCGTACATAACAAGTCAAACGATAATGGGATGAGATTAATAAATTTTGCTTCCTCAAGAAACATGGTAGTAGGTAGTACAGCGTTTAACCTTTAACGGCCGAATGTTATAATTATTCGCATCAAGTAGC